AAAAGGAGAACTCGTTCTTGTGTTGTATGCAACTTTGTTTGTGTAGAATTTATGTATTTTGAATCAGATCTTAGCTAAAGTATAATTTATAATAGAAATAGTTCTCGTATATAGGATATAAGGATAGAGATAAGTGGATGAGGGTGGGTTGGGGAATAGCCTAAACATTTCGTGCCTTGAGCACCTGCTTCTGGGGCGGACTGGGCACGTTCTCCTTGCCGGGGAAGAGCACTGTCTTCTTGGGAGTGCCCGCCGCAGAGCGTGGGGTGCGTGGTGTGCGTGGGGTGCGCGGACTGTGCGGCGTGGCAACCTTGGGCGTGCGCTGTGGGCGTGGCGAGGACTTGCAGGAGAGCAGCTCGCTGATCTCGTTGCTGCTGTCCTGGCGCACACACTTCTCCGAGGAGTTGAGCAGCCACGAGGTGATCTTGTCGCACTCCGCACGCAGCTCCGAGTCGATGAGCAGATCCTCGATCTTCTCCAGATCGGTGGTGTTCGGCTTGTTGGCCTTGCTGGGTGTCGTGTGCATGGATACGGATGCCGGCTGCTTGGACTTGAGGGCAATATTCTCGAGCTTCAACTGCTCGCATTCCTCGCGCACCTTCACCAGCATCTGCTCCTTGTTGTCGAGCTCCAGCTGGGCAAACTGCAGCACGGTGGCGAACTCGTCCAGAGCCTTCTTCATGTCCACCATGTAGGCCTCGCGGGTCTCGTCTTTGCGCTGCAGCTCGTAGTAGTGGGCCATCTGAGCGTCGCCGTCGATACGCTCCTGGAACGAGTTAGCAATCTTATTGAATTTGGCCAGGGTCTCCGCCTCGCCGGCAAGCAGCTCATGGAGCATCGACTCCTTCAACGATACCTCGCTCTGCAGCGTCTGCGAAGAGGAGCGCAGCGCATTCAACGCCTCCTGCGATTCGGTCAATTGCTGGCGCAGCTGCTCCGCATCGGCTTGCAGTCCCAGGTAGCTCTGCTCGAGGGCGCCCTTGGCCAGCTGCACGGACTCCAGCTCCGCCTTGAATTGCTCCACATCGGCGTCGGACTTCTTCAAGCGCTCCATCAAGATGTTCACCGTGGACCGGGTGTTGGTGAGCGTCAGCTGATAGTTGTACTTCTCGGTGATGGTCTTGGCCATGTCCTGCTTTAGCTGCACCAACTGCTGCTGCAGTGCGTCGCTCAGCTGGATGTAGTAGTCGATGCCGTTGCGCAGCTGCTCCTCGCACTTTTGCAGCTTCTCGTCGCGCTGCCGCAGCATGTCGTTGGTGGTCTCCAGCAGCACCATCACATCCTGCTTCTCCAGCTCGATCTTGATGAGCTCGTTCTCGGCCAGCTTCTGGCGCTTGTCCAACTCCGCCCTCCAGTAGCTCTTCTCGCGCTCCACGGCGTTCTCCATGTCGTTCTCCACCTGCTGCTGCACCTTGGCCACCGCCTGCTGTTGCTCGGTTTGGCGTGCCTGCTCGCGGCACAGCTGCCGAATGGTGTCGCAGTGGGCATCGATCTCGCAGTTCTTGTCCAGCAGCTCGTCCTGCAGTGAGCGGATCAGCGTGCACTTGTTGGCCAGATCGTTCTTGAGAGTGTTGCGCTCCACGCGTAGACACTCCTGCTCGGCGTGGCTGCTCTTGGCCTCCTGGGCATACGACAAGGCATCCTGCTCGATCTGCTCCTTCAGCAGTGTCACATCGGCCAACAGCGAGGCATTGTTCTTCTGAAGATTCTCAATCAACTCGATGTTAAGTGCGGTCTTCTGCTGCTCCTCGCTGCAGCGCTCCTTGGCCAGGGCCACATCCGCCTGCAGGGCACTCAGCTGGACATTCAATTGACTCTGCTCGGCCATCTGCTGCTCGCTGGACAGCTGCAGCTGCTCGTTGGCCAGCCGAAGGGCCTCGCTCTCGGCGATCAAAGTGTCCACATGACGCTCGTGTTCCTCTCGTTGCTGGTGCAAGGTCAGCTCCATGGCAGACAGGCGATCCATCAGCTGGGAGTGCTCCAGGGACAGCTGCTCGTTGCGCTCCTTGTACGAGTGATTCTCGCTGGACAAGGCCTCGATCAGCTGCTCCGTCTTGGCCACCGCCTGCTCGTGCTCCTCCCTCAGCTTCACCTCCGCCTCCTTCAGCTGCTCCACGTGACGCCGCAGCACATCCAGCTGGCTCAACTGACTCTCGATCAGCTCGTTCTTGTGACGAATCTCCTGCTGCAGTGCCTCCTTGCCCTTCAGACGATTGGCAGACTTGGCCTCCTTCACGGGCGTTGTGGTGGCCGAGTGCAGGGGCGTGGAGGCCGCTGTCGAAGCGCCGCTGGTAGACGGCTCCGTGTGGGTGGGCGCCGGACGGAAACGCAGACGCTGCGGCAACGATGGGGTCCTGAATAGACGCAGACCCTTGGACTTTTTGTCCTCCTTGGGTATGGCAAATTCCTTGGCCTCCTTCGAGCTGGAGGCAAAGCGCACGGCATCCTTGAAGAACTTTTCGATTTGCTCCTTGCGCTCGGGCTGCACGGGTGCCGGGTTGGCGGCAACTGTAGCAGCGGCAGCGGCTGCAGCAGCAGCTGTTGTGGGCGTGGCACTACCCGTGGAACCGGCAGAGCTGTTGGAGGCAGCTGGCGAGGCACACAGCGCCACATCCACGTCATTGAAACGCTTCAACTTGGCCTTGGAGAAGGACATTCTGGCTGCTGCAGTTCTTGTCTGTCTTTTGTTTGAAGCTTAAACTTTGTTTTTGTTGGCTTTGCTGGTTCTTTGGATTTGCGCGAGTTTCTTTTACGGTTTAACGTCTCATAAATAACTTTCGTTTAACTTTTAGCAATAACAAAAACTTCAATAATAAAACGTAAACACAACTTTAACTTTTTATTTATGTTTCTTTCTTGTATCTCTTTTGGGTTAACTGTTTAACAAATCTGTCCGTTTTAATTTTGTACTATTTATCTGTGTTCTGTAATTCGTGGTCTGTGGTCTCTACACTACTACAATAATATCCCGTAATTTCCCGTTGCTACCCGTTGCTCTCTTCTGTACCTACGCGTTCCGCTGTCAAAACCTAACTAAATTCTCTGTCGCTGCGCCAGCGCACAGGCAGACGCCAAAACGAACGGTGCAATGCAGAGGGAAAGAAACGCGCAGTGGAGAGGAAGAGAAGTGTACAGAGGTATTGCGGGCTATATGGCCACTACACAAAAGGCGCAGAACAACCCTCGCGATCGGAACGGGCAAAGTGATCCTTCATTGTTGTTGTTGTTGTTGTAGTTACTGCTGCTCGTATTTGTCGTTGTGTCTCACCTTTGCGGGTTGTTATGCCTATACCCTAAGCCAGGTGGGGTATTTCTGTATTTCTCAAGAACTTTGGTGGGTTGCGGAAATAACAGTTGGTGTATGCTTATTCTGTGAACACAATTATCGCACTCCATTTGATTGATACTTAAAGTACCAATAATATTCAGTACTGGTTTAACAGAACCAATTTATATCTTAAATATGGTAGATGAATGTCTTGAAGAATGGAAGACTAACAATTTCCGGGTACTAATGTAACAGAAAATCAAAAATCATTGGATAGAAGTATGAGACTGATCATAAAACAAGTCTTTCTTTAGTCTGTTTTCATTGAGAGATTATATAATAGTCAAGATTACGAATACAAACAGCTAAAATATATCCACAACTTTTTGCACTCTTCTTTAAGCAATTCTAGAGCACAATTTGTAGAGCATTTCGTATTCGTTGCTGTTCTCCCCATTGATTTATTACGCTCTGCTTATTTTGGTGGTGGTTCGTGCCACAATTCCTTATCCTTAGACGCCGCAGTCGTTGTCCTTATCTATGTGTTTGTCAAGACGTCGGCATCGTGTTTGTGAACTATAGAAAATGGTACGAGTAGTTTTTACTTTTAGCGCGCGCAAATGTTGCAATTGTAGTCCAAAGACAAGGCGAGGAGGGTTCACAGGGGCTACGGGTGGGGGTAAATACATAAGGCAGCGGCAGAGATAGCAGATAGAGAGGAGAGTTCAGGGTTCCGCATTCCCTTACTCTTGCTCCAGCAGTAGTGTTTATATATAGGAAATGTGTCTGCCGCTGTCTGACACTCACATCCGTCCGTCCTTCTCTCAAATGTGACTGATCCTGGTATATCGCTTGATAGCTTGGAAAAATGTCCGTTAGCTCCAATCGCGAGAACGCGAGAACTCCAGCTGGCAGCCAGCATAAATTTGTTAATTTGATACGAAATCCGAAGCCCGCATAATTAGAAAGGAAAATGTGTAAATGTGACGAGGGAAATGGGCGGGTCCTTCGCTCCTGCGCATTGAATTTAATTGAATTGAATTGCGTGGAAAATGCATCAGGCAGAGAAAGAGCTTCTAAGGCAAATTGACTTGGCTTGATCACGCGAGGGAGTTAAGCAATCGAGTCGATCCATACCCCACATGGGTATATGACATCCTGCTGATCCTGTGGTAGCCGGGCAGCGTGTCTCCTTCCATTTTCTCGGCAGCTACAGGCATAATGTCACAACTGGCAACTGCTCAGCTGGTTGCTACTCAATTGCTTGACAATGGTAAGGTTGGGAATATTCTAGCAACTGAAAGGTGCTAATTCTAGGGTTCCAAATCAAGGAAGCGTAGAGTTCTGGGTGGGTCAGACACACACAGCTGTGCAGCAGACAGCAGAAAGATAAAAGACATAAGGAAGTAAGGAGTCCTAAGGGGATTTGGATAGACTTTGCTAATGCAGAACTGTTTTTTGGGGGAGATCTTTGGCTAGACTCCGAATTAATTTGAAATTAGAGTTCTAGAACTTCAGACTTCTATCTCTAGACTCTTTTTGTCAAAGGCTGAAACACAAAACAGTGCGATCCTCAAACAAAAGACCCAAAAGTAATATAAATGATGTTCTGGGCTAATGATGATTTTCCCTTTATGGCAACACCTTCTTGAACATCATTTTCCCATGCCTGCTCGTGCATAACCGCCAAAACGTAACGCGATCTAATGATGGGCACCACCATGGGATCCATTCAATTATTTTTTCCACACAATAACCTTTGACTGAACCAATGTCAACACAAAGTGAAAGAAACACAGGCATGGACACCGTTCTGAAAGGGTTCTTCCTCGTGGCACCCTCATGGGATACAAAAGGAACTGAGTCATCGACCTACGGCGCAGACACTCCCGACGCGTAGATGCCAATGCGTAAAAAGAACCGGGCGGCTGTTCAGGTTTTATGACCAGAAAAACGAGTTGAAGGAAGGACATGGGGCATATATGTATTTACTCTTTGCACAAAAGCCAATTAAATGTAGTGTGATAGATTCTCTTCTTACTCACCGTTGAAACAGCAAATTCTTGGCAAAGACATAGAGCTCAATGTCCAGGCCATTGAGCTTCTCGATGCGACGCTTCTGATCCGCTCGCAGATTGGACACAGCTGTCGCTGAAATGGTGGTATTATGCTGCTCAAAGGGTATGGCAAAGCGCAGGTTAAAGGTCTCCTCAAATATATATTGGGACATCTAAGAGACAAGAACAAGATTCAATAACAAATTCAGTTTAGTTTTGTATTTAGCGGTGCAACCTTTTGATATTCAGTCAGTCCAAAGTAGGCCATGGCAGCCAAATTTCGCTTGGCGCTGGCCAACATCACCCGATCCCGCTCGTGGGCGGGCATCGAGGATTTGTTGTAGCAGCCGACCAGTGCAAGATCCGCCAGCATGCGGGTCTGCCGATTGGCCGCCAGATTCGACTCGCAGCCGGCAAACTGATCGAGATCCACGTCCAGCCAGTCCTTGCCCTTGTAGCAGGCGGGCAGCTCATTGGCGGAGGCCTGTCGCCCCAGGCACCAGTGCCGCGAACCCTTCCAGGTGGCACCACGCCGCACATGGCGGTACTCGGACATGTAGCGGGAGATGGGCTCGCGGAGCAGCGATATGTAAAAGTACCGACGCTTGGCCGTCTCGCCCTCGTTCTTGTCCAGCTCCACGTCCACGCAGCTGGTCAGCTCGGTCCAGTCGGCATGGAGGCCGCACTTCCAGCCCGTGGAGTAGCGCGAGAAGAGCCAGTTCTCGTTCCGATGCGGACGGAAGCAATAGCAGCGTTTTCTCTGTCGCTGACACTCGCAGGGCCGCTGCGAGGAATCGGAAAAAAACGTTAATGGAGGGGATCACTGATGGGGGGAATTTCAAGCTCACCTTCAGGTCCAAGTCCCTGACCAAATGGCGGCCAAAAGAGGTGCCGCCCGTTTTCTGTATGTGCAGAAAGACCATCACATCGTGACCATCCATATCAAACTGGAAATCATCGTTGAGCACATCCTCGTAGCTCAGTCCGGCATTGGCGATGATGTTCTGCGGTGCAGATGCCTTCGAGGCCATTGCCGTGATGCCGCCACCCATGGCCACATTATTGTTGCTGTTCGCATTGTTGTTGTTGTTGTTGCTGGAAATGCTATTGGCCTGATGGAGTGGGAGCTCATTATAGGCAAGTATATCCGAAGACTGAAGTATCACGGCGCGTTTGGATAGGGCGCATACCTGCGGTTACCGAAGAGCGAGGGAGAGAGAAAGCGAAGAGCAAACATTAAAGTGGGATTGTAGGCAGTGGTTAGTCGACTCTTGTTATACCCTGTAATGAAACCCTTCATACACTGAAATATACGCTTCAATCAATCAGTTGTACCCTTTCCCATTCACTTGTACATTGATCTAAAGGGCATCATAATGATCCCTGAGTGGTGTGAATGTAATTTCATTTTTCATTTTCGCTGTCGCCGTTGAGACTTAAATTCAATTTATTGGCTGCAAAATTACACAAAAGGGCGGTGTCCACGTCCGAGTAAGTGCCTCTGCCAGAGTATTTATTTTCAGCATTAATTAAATGCCCATCGGGATTAAATGGGCATTTTTGCATACGAAACAGGTGGGGGTACGCCTCCAGGCACTGGGAAACTTCCCCGCCCCTCGGCAGCATCTCACCGTCTGGCTGCTGCTGGTGGTGCTGCTGCTGATGTGTTTCTCACCGTGTCTCACTTTATTTGCACCAACGGAATGTGCACTTTTATTTATGGCACGTACTCCACGCTTATTAATATCGAGAACAAGCTTTTATCCCCTTTTTCATTGCACTCACAACAATTAAGTTGAAGAATTTCAATATTTACTGGCCATAAATATGAGGAATACACGTGTGTGTGTGGGTGGGGCGGTGGAGTAAGGAATTCCATGTGGATTAAGTAGTTATGGAGATGCCAGAGGTTATGAGTGGATCAACATATGAGAAAGTTAATTATATCGTGGCATACTTTTCGGCTGGCCAGTCAGTTTTTGGTAGAGGTAGTTTGGTGGTAAAACTCCAACTAGATAGGCATATTCCACTGCGCGGCTGATCGGAATTGATCGGAAAACGTTCTTGATATTTAAAGTAAGAGACTCTATCGTCCTTTCATATGCGGATAACATCCTTCAACACTTTACCTCTTTGGCAGTGTCTTAACGAAACCTTTTTAGGAACTAGACACTGGTGAAGCTCATGCTCATGATTTTTAAGTTAAAAGTCAGCTGAATTCATGGATTAATAATTGAAAGGTTAGGCAATGGTTAGTTCTGACATCCTCTGTGTATGGTAAACAGTCATAAACTCATTGGCAAACAAATAAAAAATGAAAATAATTGTATAGAGAGCTTTGGATTGGGCTGTAGCAAAAATATTCCCTTAAGATGAACCACTATGATTTATCTGAGGGGAAAGGCAACAACAAATGGCAGATACAGAGACTAGAAAAGCTAGAAGCAGAAAAGCTGCTAGGCAATCCATACTGACATCTGGTCTTTGTTCATTAAGAACCTCAAGTTTCTGGCATCGCCTGCAGCTGTCATCATTTTCTGATGGCGTAGAAATATTCAAAAATGCCTATGCTTTCACCACTCATAACTTTCTAATTAGAATAAGTTTCCCCAGGCCATGGGCCTTCGCTGCTGCCAATATTCTCTTGTTGTTGTTATCATTATTTAGGAATTTTCCTGACAACCAAGCTTCAATAAAAAGATAAAACAAGACCTCAGCTGTCCGCAAGTCAAGACACACCCACACACACACAGATGGAGGCCGCCACCATCCTACTATAGTTGTGTTCTCCGAGCAATCAAACTAGACAAAAGTTTCTCGATTAAAATGAGCAACTTTGTGAGAATTTTCTCATATCTGACAATTTGCGCTGCTTAGCAGAAGACCAAATGAGCAAAACACGCAACAAGAGGAGCCGAGCAGCAGCAGCAGCAGCAGCAGCAGGAGGAGCAGAGGAACAAAACTCAGAGGCAGAAACTCAGCTCATTAAACAATTGGCAGGCGGGCGGAATGGTTGTTGGCCATAAGAAATTAAGGACACCAGGGGGGTTGCCATGCCTTGTGCCTCATGCCCCGATGCATCCCAGCCCCAAGCCCAACCCCAGCCCTACTCTTATCTTTAAGTCTTTTCTGACTCAACTTGTTTGTGTGCGTGTGCCTCTGTCGGAGTGTGTGTGTGGGGGGTGTGCAGGAATGCGTGTAAGCTTGTTTCCATAAAAGTTGGCCATTTTAATGGCCAGAAAAACGGGAGAGATGAAAAAATGCTACACTTAGGCAAAAGAGCGGACAAGTTTTTGACATATTTTGGCAGCCTTGGAAGTTTTTTAGATCCTCAACTAAGTTTTCAAATTACTGAAAGGATATTTTACCCCCTGGGTTATCTATTCCCCACTGCGGGAGTATATACTTTATCCTTTTCGGACAGTGTAAACCCCCAAAGAGGTATACTGGTCCAAAGGGAGAGCCCTGCAAGCGCAAAAGTTTTGAATTTATTGTGGCCAAACGGCCAAGAGAGAGAGAGAGAGCGAGAGGGAGACCGAAGCCACAACAGCGAACCAATTCGATTATCAGCAGAGAAAACTGCAAGAAAAATTCTACGCTGGCACTCCCGTATCGGCGGCAGCTGTGGAGTCCTTGTCCCGAAGCTCTTTACCTTAATCCCCTTAGTGGGCCCTTGGGGGGAGCAGAGGCCAAGGACAACTTCGATTTATTTGCTTTTGATATATAAATTGTTGTCAAGTTGTTTAGTGTTCTGTTCTTAAGTCAGTTAGTGGCACTTTAAGTGCTGTAAATGGGGCTTTAAAATGCACACTACAGCAGAAGACTTTTCTTTTTTTTGTTTTTATTTTTCCAATTGAGTTTTTCCGCAACACAAAGAACCAGCGAGAGAGAGAGAGAGAGAGAGAGAGATGTCGCCGTGGAGGGAATAATGAGGCAGACAATAAATTAAAACATAATACATTTATATGGTGCACGTAAACACGCATTAAATACAATTTGGTGTGTATGTGGCAAAAAGAATATGAGACGAAAATCTACCACTAATGGGTAATTTAATTTTATTTTCGGTGCTTCAGCGCGCGGCACTGCAACTAAAATGAAACGGCGGCGAGCATGAGCATCCCCAAATGGCGACCAGATGGGCAGCAACAATTACAATAAAAATAATAACAATTTGCTGTACATGTGTGTGTCTGTGTGTGAGAGAACACTTTGCCGGCAATTTAATTGCTTTTCATGCTGCAGTCCCTTGGAAAAACTCATGGAAAATGGTCATCGTGCTGGCCATTGTTGGGTAATAATATAATAATAATAATCATTATTTTGTGCTATATTCGTTAGAAATTTATGTGCATATAAACACACGGGACACATGTACGCACACATTCTACAGCTTCCACCGGAAGTATTAAAATTTGATTTTGCTAAAGCGGAAATGCAAAAATGTGTTGCATACTTTTTGGGGGCACGAATTATGCCCCATTCAGCAGGGAATGGAATCGCCATTTGATGGAAATTCATAAAATATGCAAATAATTGATGGACCTGCACACAAATATTCACTGAATTAAACATAACAAAAAGGGGAGCGAGCGAGATAGAGAGAGAGCAATCATCGAATGGAATCTGTGAATATAAAATTTAATGGAAAAATTAACTAATTTAGTGGAATAAACGGATATTGTCCATTGAGTCAATGTGAATTTCATTGACTGCTGGATTATGCTTAAAATAATTGTCTTCCCTAATGGACAGTGTAGTGAGTAAAATAGAGCTGTCCCAGAGTGCTTTTAACACCCCAAACAACTCCTGGGGCAGAACACCACACAAACTGTCTAGACTTTAACATTTTTATGCCTGCCAATTACTCCTCCTCCTCGCATACATACAAATATAACCACAAAGAACTCATTTAACTGAAACGTAAACAAAACACTTGGCGGCAGAGAGTACCTGCCAATAAAAACCCTGAGAGAGCGAACAGGGAAAATAAAAACCATTCATAAACCCAAACTGCAAGCATACAAAATGACAAATGTTACGAGAATAAACCAAAAGTAAAACAGCCGCAAGCCAGAGTGACTAAATTAATATTTATGCGGTCTGGAAGCACAGATTTAAGATTGTATGCTTTATGAACTCTCCAACCCAGCAAAGACACAGAAGGCAGCTCCAAAGGCAGCCCACGGAGAACTCACTGAGCTATACACAGATTGGGGTCAGGGCACAGACTTGAGAGACAATGTCGTAAATTTCGAGTACAGCGAAAATCAACAATAAAACTTTCGTTTGCAAAAAAAAAAAAAGAAACCAAACATGGAATTCCCCAGAGACAATTTCGTGGTGCGTCATAAAATGAAAATGAAATGGAACCAAGTGAAATGTAGAGCGGAGTGTACACAGTTTGGTTGTGACATCCAAAACGAAAGAGCACTCAGCTACTCCAATTTCATTTATTGCTTATTAAGGACATAGAAATTTTCAATTAATTTGTTAGCCTAGTAACACAGCTCGTGGCCCATGTCATCGTCAATGCATACTACAGGGGAAAGCCACATTAAATGAACGTACAATGGAAATTCGATTTGCAATCTGCACTTACAGTTTTTATTCTTCAACTCGCCATATTCCACGCCCTGCTGCTGCATCTGCGCCCAATAGCTGGGGACAAACGAGCTCCAAATGCAAATAAAAATCAAGAGAAACGAAAAGAGTGGACACTGAAAGATGGCTGACATGGTGAATGCTTCGTTGGCAAATGGTTTGCAGCCATCGTAAATGTAAAAATAAATTCACAATTTCACGGTATGGGATTAGAGGCCAAGATGCGTTCGAGATGAGAGTCGTGTTTGATCCAACGAAAGGTGTGACAATCGTAAATGGAAACACAACGATTTGTGGTATCATTCCGCACATATCCCGACTTGCAGCCGCAGCCCAGGCGGCACACTTTAATGTATTTACAGTGCGGATCAAGGTAGTTGGGCACTGTACAGCTGGGCTCATTGCAGAGCTTGCAGGTCCTCACCTCGTTCTCTTCGCAGGCTAAGGTATGCAATTCCTGGACATCAATGTGGTATCAGATTTAATAACAGGCTTACGTACGTCCAATCTGGGTCGCAACAAAGCTGCCTCCCACCGGCAGGATCAGCGGCAGGAACAGAAGCTGGCACAGCCTTAGAGTTAGTTGCCGAACAAACATGACGGAATGCGTCTGCCGAGCAAAACTTTCGCCTAAGACTTGCAACTTTTTGAGCAAATCGAATCGTTTCGTTGCGTCTGTTGATTTGAATTGTATATGTAAGAGCTAAGAACCAAGTGTGGAGAGTTTAAATGGCAAATATTTAAGCTGTCTGGCGTATTTGTGCCAACTTTTAATAGTATAAAGTTATTTGAATTCAATTACAAATTTCATCCTGTAGAAACGAAAAGGTATCTATGGCAACGGGTGTTCATTTAATGAATTATTGTATATTCAAGGCTATTCTTGGCCACAGAAAGCTAATACCAATGAATGGTATAAGGTCTCACTGCACTTTGAGAACAAGCTTGGCAGAACCTTGGCAAGTCTCTTCTAGTTTAATTTACGAGTAAATTCAATAATAAAGCTACATATTCCCAAAGAACTCTATTGACATAACCATTCCACGCTTTCCCAATTTTTAAAGCTCAATATTTTTGCTAGATTCAATCATTAAAACTGAAACGTTCAATTTATGGCTTCTTTTTATGATTTATAAAGAAACTGTGGACTAACTTTAGGTGTGACAATCGTTAATGGAAACACAACGATTTGTGGTATCATTCCGCACATATCCCGACTTGCAGCCGCAGACCAGGCGGCACACTCTAATGTATTCACAGTGCGGATCAATGTAGTTGGGCACTGTACAGCTGGGCTCATGGCAGGACTTGCAGGTCCTCACCTCGTTCTCTTCGCAGGCTAAGGTATGCAATTCCTGGACATCAATTTGGTATCAGATTTAATAACAGGCTTACGTACGTCCAATATGAGGCGCAATAAAGCTGCCTCCCAGCGGCAGGCTCAGCGGCAGGATCAGCGGCAGGAACAGAAGCTGGCACAGCCTTAGAGTTAGTTGCCGAACAAACATGACGGAATGCGTGAATGTGTCTGCCGAGCAAAACTTTCGCCTAAGACTTGCAACTTTTTGAGCAAATCGAATCGTTTCGTTGCGTCTGGGGCAATTAGTCAAGCATCATGCAGGGGATGCAACCAACTCGTACATACAAGTTTATGTTGATTTGAATTGTATATGTAAGCGCTAAGAACCAAGTGTGGAGAGTTTAAATGGCAACTATTTAAGCTGTCTGGCGTATTTGTGCCAACTTTTAATAGTATAAAGATACCACATTCTCGATATCCCTGATAGATAAATTTAACAAACTAAAAATATGTTATATATAATAGCAGGGCTCATTGGAAAACTGCTATTTCTGTTAATTGAATATTAATTATACAATTTACTTATTGTTTAAAAACAGATTGTAAATATAAAGAGAGAGAAAAAAAAAAAAAAAAAAAAAAAAAAAAAAAAAAAAAAAAAAAAAAAAAAAAAAAAAAAAAAAAAAAAAAAAAAAAAAATGTATTAAAAATTACAAATTTCATTCTGTAGAAACGAAAAGGTATCTATGGCAACGGGTGTTCATTTAATAAATTATTGTATATTCAAGGCTATTCTTGGCCACAGAAAGCTAATACCAATGAATGGTATAAGGTCTCACTGCACTTTGAGCACATAGAACTTTGGCAAGTCTCTTCTAGTTTAATTTGCGAGTAAATTCAATAATAAAGCTACATATTCCCAAAGAACTCTATTGACATAACCATTCCACGCTTTCCCAATTTTTAAAGCTCAATATTTTTGCTAGATTCAATCATTAAAACTGAAACGTTCAACTATCAAAAACTTTTGAATTTATGGCTTCTTTTTATGATTTATAAAGAAACTGTGGACCAACTTTACGTTAAGTTCAACATAAAACCCGCAGCTAGCCAGCCATGATCACGTACTTGACTGTCGGCCACAATTTTCATCAAAATCATAAAATTGTATTTAATATTACGGCACCTTTTGAAGTAGCTCTTTTCCGGCTGCATTTGAGGTAGCGCAAAAATACAATCGAGAAACCAACATTCAACTGCATCTAATGGTTTCGCAGGGCGAGCCTGTCATCGGGGGCAGTTATAAAAGTTAAGGGGCATCCGCTTTTGATGATGGCCCACACAGAACCTGCCTGTGGCCGGCGATTCTAATGGTCAACTGGTCGAAAAGCACACACAAACATACACACAGAAAAACCAAAAAAAGACAGCCAGACAGGATGCGCAGATAAAGAACGGGAAAAAGGGGGCTGGCTATTCAAAATGCCATTTCGGTGGACAGGAGGTACACCACAGGACATGGACAAAGAACCCTCAAGCCTATGCCTGGCTATGACTCTGGTTCTGGTAAAAGCGGAAATAAACAAAATTACCCAACACTGGCGAACACACGCACACACTGGTACGTACAGGTGATAAATGAGGCTAGAGCTCTGCATTTGATTATCGCTTTAAACAAATATGTAGCCGAAAATGCCAGACCCAACTCGTTGCGAAATTTACAATGAAAATTGTGTGCCTTCTGATATTGTCGGCATGCTAGAGTGTCCGTGTTTGTATGTGTGCATGTGCTATTGGCAGGCAGTGTGAATACATATTTCATTGGCTGCGCATTTTGCTGCTCGTTACCTGAAGGATTTTCCACTCGAAGAAGCTCCACTGAATCATAGAAACACTCGTACATTTCAATTACTGGTTTTTAGCCCGTGGAGATACTCTGCCCTGCCTGGCTGTTACCCTTTTTTGCATCTCATCTCATAAACAGGCTGTCAACTCCATTGCCAAATCCGTTTCACAGGCAATTCGCTTAAAAGCGAACAAGAAAAGCCTCCAACCCCAAGGCCCCATCGTCCATCTTTTTTTTGAAGAGCAAAAACCATTGAAAATTTGCATAAACAAACCATTTTCTGTTCCAACCAGTGACCCCTTTTTGATGGAGCGTTTGGAGGCGCCTCTTCGCCTAGTTGAACGATTGAGAGGCAGCTAATATTTCTGACCCTTTTTTGCTGTGTATGTGTGTGTGGAGGAACAATAATAGGGACATACGTGCATAAGAGCAGCAACAGCAGGACACAGATTGTCCTGGTGGGGCCACATGGAGTGAAAGAGCATATTTAGTTTGGCCTTTTGTTGCGTGCTGGGAAGAACCATAGAGAGAGATGATGGAGGAGCAATGCGAGGAGTGCCTGAGAGCGGAGTTGGGTTTCGCTCTAAAGAAGTCAGCCAGAAGACGAATGAAATGAAATATGGGCCAGGGCTGCGACTGTACGATTGGCCATCAACTGAACGAGATCCCAATTGAGAGGGTCTTCGGTTGCGAGCTCTTAATCGCTTTGGGACTCACACGCCGACCTCACTCTGCCCCTCGGGACTTGTCTCTGATTGAACTCTGAAAAGAAGATGGATTTGTCTCTCTCCCATTCTCTCTCTCTCTCTCTCTCTCTCTGTCTCTTTTATGACGGTCTGCCAGCAGTAATTTCCTTATACCACTGATATTCTCGCAATTCCTTGGGGACTGGTTGGACCTCTGATGAAATGTGTTGGCTGGGCGTTGAAATGTTTTGTCATTTCATTTATCAAATTGTCAACTTGCCTGGTGGTGTTTTGGGTTGGGGTCAAGCGAGTTTTTTGAACTGTTGCCATTTTGGCGACCTGTCACGCCTAACTATTTGTGATTTCAAGCATTAAATCATTCGACACTTGCTTATGTTTTTCAATGGATTTTCTATTAGAGACAAGGTGGGAGAGAGGGAGTTCTTCCATCGCACCCCAAGGACCAACAAGAGATATGGTCTTGTCAAATATTATTTGCTTTTCTTTCATACATACCCTAACAGAAGGCATTGGTACTTGTTATAGATGCTTGAAAATCATAATAATTATTTATATAAGGAGAATGGGGAATTTTGGGAATTAAATTGTAGAATGTAAATATGTTTTTGCTCTATAGAAATCCAAACACAAAGGCAAAGCTTGCGATTTTTAGTTCCTAGTTTAAGTCGTATTCCTGCAAAGTGTATCTAAAGTATCGCTGAGAAAAACTACACTTTCCTTTCGTTCTTGTTTCGGTTTAAACTTTTTTTCTGTCCAAGTCAGTTTTTGCCTGAGAGCTTGAGAGCCCGAAAACGTTGAAAGCTAATCTATCTTAAGTGGCTGTAAAGCATTCAGGGCAGCTCGGGGATGAGCTCTGTCGTGGCTCTCCTCTAATGAAATGTAGCATAATATTTTCATTCTGGCCAGAACTCTCAAGTGTCCTGCCTGTCTTCGTGTGTGTGTGTGTGTGTGTGTGTGTGTGATAAGCGTGTAAATCCCTAAAAATAGCCAAAGACAAGGCACAAATCCCACATGCATATACGCCAAAAAGGAGCGCTAGCTGTAGCTGTGGCTCTAAGCTCCTAGACTCTGTGTTGGTGTTGGCGTTGGCCAATGGCCATAAATTCGAGTAAAATGTATTTTGACATTTAGCACGCAAAGCGTGTGGCAAAAACTAACTAAGCGTGTTGGTGGTATGTGCCACAGTTATACATAAAGCTATATATATATGTGTATAATATACAAAGGTCATTCCAATGATGATGAGGAAGGACATCAGAGGACTGTGACTGTGACTGTGACTGGGCTCTGACTAGGATTTCACATGAAGTGTTAACATGCGATAACAGCGGCAGCAAATAAAACACAATGAAGCGCAACTGATGAGGATGCGGTGAATGGTTCATGGTTAGGGAGGATGGGTGGATGGTTCCTGGTGAATGTGTTGGGTTCCCTTTCCCATACCCTGCTGCTGCCTAATGCGAAAGAAAATACCCCAAATCCAAACCGAAACTGAAACTGAAACAGAAACAGAAACCCCAAATACGAAATGAGTCTTGGACTCGTCTCTGCGTTGGCTTCATCTTTTTTTTCGATAACGAGTTTTTGCCTTTTGGAAGTAAATGAACCGAAACGAATGATAACAAATAATTCAATGTCTCATATTTTTGTGGCTTTTCATTTTGATGTTTGTTGGTCTGTTGCCATTTTGCCTTATGAATTTCACAGGCAAATTGTGCTAAAATCATTGGGAGAATATTTGTCAGTCCATTTTGAGCACCGAAAGTAGTTTATTCTGCAATAAACTGGTTTCGAATTAAAATCTCTAAAAACCAAAATACAATATTTCCATTATTGAACATCAAAAGTCTTGACTTAAATCCTTGCCTTCTGCCTTTGGCTTTAAAGATTTTCCATATTTTTTCTTCACTTTTTCACCCGTTTTGGTGTTTTCCCCCCACTGAAAATGCTTGACTCTTGGTCTGCGGCAACAATTTTTAATTACTATTTTTTGTTCTTGCTGCATAAAAATGGCGACTTTATTTTCGCAACAAAAAAACGATCGTAATACGAGAAAAAAAAACACAAGAAATTCGTGCGCTCTTTTTCAAGCTCCTAACCAGTAAACATTTTTTCACGCTCATAAACTCTTGGGAAAATTGTTTGGGTTTCCTCGTAGTGTGTGTGTGGGTGAGGGGGGTGTGACATAATGGGAAAACCAAAAGAGGGTAAGGGAATGGATGGTAGCACCCTGAAACACAGTGGACGGAGGCGAGTCCAGCGTCAGGGTTCTGTGGCTGCTCTGGTCGCACTGTCACAGTCATAAAAATGTGCAAAGTATTTTGTATGGACGCACACACACACACACACACACATACAATACACACACACACCCACACTGTGAAAGCTAATAATAAGCGAAGGCCTCTGCCTGGAAATGGTTTTAATGCATAGGGCAGGCGGCCAGGCTGACGGTAAAAAAAAAAAAAGAGAGGAAGCTCACGGAAACAATTTTCTTGTTAAGTGGACTTTTGGACTTTACATTTTACTTGCTGTTCTTCTGGTGGGTGTTGGTGGTGGTTGTTGCTGTTCCTGCTGCTGTTCCTACTGCTGCTGAGGTTGCTAATGCGGCGGGTTGCAGCGGGTGTTGTGTGTTGGGAGGGGCTGGGGCAAATGTTTCATATTTGCTTTTATTGTACTCAAGTTGGCGCGTAAATTTAAATGAAACGCCATTTTTTTGAGCACTTAGCACGGTTTGGTGGCAGGGCAGCTAAAAGTTTGCCATTTTTTATACCATGCTGAGGTCAGGGATTGGTAGATTTACATGCGTTTTTAGACCGGAAGTCTGTGAATCATAGGTAAAGTTAATTCCAGTTGAAAAGACCACGCCCGGCCACTCCAGCAGTCGAGTCACTAAGGCTGACAGAAGATAAGGGTAGGCCGCCTGACAGCCTGCCTGTCACTGGAAATATTCCAGGATTAAATTGGTTTACTTTAAGGCAAATCCGAAGGTGACTCTGTCTCCGCAAGGGATTTAAGCTACGTTTATGGGAGACTTGCCATGCAGACCCTATTTAGCTGTCGGTTTATTTTATATTTGTGGCTAAATAATACACCACAGAACTGCATTGAAATGGTACACGAAAGTGTCAGAATTTACCCAAAGAAAATTCCATTAGTTTTAAATATTTTGAAATACATTTTCCATGTGCCATATGAAGTAGATATTCCCAAGATTCGTCGCTGCTAAACAGCTGCCTTTTACAGGGGTATTTTGCAAACCACAAAACATTCGACTGTTGGTGGTTTTATTTCTACGACCGCAAAACTGCATTCCCTCATAAATTGTGTGCCCATAATTGTTTTCCCTTTTGCGTCAATTAATGTAACTACATTTCGCAAAATGTTATGGCAAAAAAAAACCCCATATTTAAAATGAAATTACTCACACACACACAAATGTAATGCGTATATTTCAACGTTATTCCGCTCACTCTTTGTGTCTGCTTTTGGCGTTGCTGCTGCTGTCACTCGTCTGTGCTGGGCCTTTGTCATCTTTTTGCCACAATTCAATTTTCGTATGACATTTGTTTTGGCAGCACCATGAAAAATGGTCAAATGTTTTTCTATAAAGGCCCTTAACGTTTCCTTAACGTTTTCTTTTCTTTTTCTTTTATGTTTGTGTTTCTGTTTGTGTTTGTGTTGTGAAAAATGCTGATTGAAATGTCACCCAAAAGCAAGGAAAAAGGCAGAAAAAACACCCAACAACCAAAAAAAACTAGGAAAACATTTTCTCTTTTATGCCTTCTGTTTGTTTTCTTTATTTTATTTTATATTTTTTGTGTGTTGTGTTTCGGCTTGTTTTTTTGGGGGTTTTTGCGAGTGATTTGATTTTGGCTTTCGGCCATTGTCCGGCCTTGTTCTTCGTAAATGTTTCGCACTTTAATCAGAAAGGGAAAAGAAGGGCCGGGCTAATCTGGTAAGCGTTCGGTGCCCGCGGGGACAGACCGTGTGTCTGTTCTTGTTTCCGGGAAGGTCAAGACAAAGAGCCCAGCACTTAACGTAGAGAGAGTGTTGCTTATTCTCACACATAAAGCCCTAAGAGCCAGGGTTCTTTTTGGGGCAGGGCAGTAACTGTCACAACTGACCGCTTGAATGCAACTTAATTGGGATTTTGTTCGTAATTGAAACTGAAAACAGAACCTCACACAATGTCTGGCCATCAGCTGCAGAGACTCTCCAATTATAATTTAATTAAATTTGAAGCACTTTGCATGCAACTATTTGTTGCACACTGGCACTGGTGGCACTAACCCAGCACTCACCCAGCATCGTCTGGCATCTCAAACCTCTAGGATTTCTGTGCGGTTCCATGCCAGACACGTTTTCTCGTTTTTGCATATGTGCAATGCCGTCACTTGATACGGCTCTGTGTTTTTGTTTCTGTTTCTGTTTGTGTGTGTGTGTGTGTGTGTGTGTGTGTGTGGCTCTGCCTCAAATGTGAAACAATATGCCACAACAATGAAGCGACTCGTGCAGCAACTCGTGCAACGAGGCGTATGAGTGTTGACTGCCGTACGAGATAGTAGGATTTCGAGCAAGGATCCAAGCCAGTGTTTTGTACGCTTGGATTATTATGATATTCCACGCACAGCCCCTGCAACAAATCACGACAAATGACAACAACTTGTAACAGAAAATGCTTTCAAGTTGCTGCTGCATAACTAAATATTGTACTTAAATATTCAAGACAAAATGCGAACCAAGTAAAGTCCCCAGTGACCGTACCTGCCCATGAACTTGTCTTTTGTTCAATGGAGATACACCTTCTGCACAGTAGGCGTCACCTGTGTGTGCCCTTTGTGCCCTCAAATAGACAAACATTTTGGGGCGTCACACACATCACATATTTGGCTACACATTCGTAAGCATTCCATACAAAAATCTAGCAAATGTGTGCCATGCCTGCCATTGTCTTATTGTTTTCTGACGTTTTCTTGTTGATTTTCCCTCAATTGTTTGCACATTCATATGCTGCACACACACATGCATGGCATGGGTGAGTCCCTTATGGATTGTTGTCTTTTCCTGGCCATTGTTTGAGCTTGCTACCCATTTTTGTTGGCTCTTGTTTATTTATTTACCCAATTCGAGGCAAACTGAAACCCGTTCTGCTGCTGCTGTTATTTCCACTCTTCATAATGTGTTTATTTGTAGTGTTTGCATTATACATTTTTGCTCTCAAAGTAAGACATAAAGCTGTTAGTTTATCGGCAGACTTCCTTTGAGTTAAATTTGTGTAAAATTAATGGAAAACGAAACTGAAAGCGAAGGCTTAGGGTTTACTAGCAGCTCTAAGAGCTGTGAAATATGAGCCAAATATAAACAGAATTGTAAATTGTTCCTTTACTTATTGATAACCTAAGCTCTTCGGCTCAGATTTAATCTTCAAACACATGTTTAGGGCAGCAAAATGGACATAAAAGCTTTAAATTTAAAACCAAGGAAAGTATCAAATACCCTGGAATATCTCTGGTATTCTTCACTGCTTTCTTGCTTTCTTCACTGGCCTGCCCAGAGCCCCACCCGCACTTAACTTCTGGTATTGCATGCAACTTTCAGGTTTATTTTGTTGCTGCTGCCGCTGCTGCTGCTACTCTTGTTGTTCTGTTCAGACTTCACACCTATTTATCGCACTCGGCACTCAGTATACACACACACACACAGTCACACCACTGGGAGAAGGCACGGCAATGGCCTCGTGTGGCTTATGAATAATACTGAGAGCAGGGAACAGCACGAACACTTGACATTCGCAATCAGTCAGCACGCCACTAAAGACATGCTCTTGGTCACAGTATTAATTGGAGCCCTCCTGCTGGTGCCAGTCTATCCGGAAACGTAATATAAAATACCTACTGATGTTTCAAGATAAATGAATATTAAATCTGCTTACAGCCACCGCTTGGGCTATAATCCGAACTATGATGTGTGGTATTTCGTGCCGCCAACACCAATTGAAAATCTAAAACCAGCCGTGATGCATGCCTATTTTCAACACAGTAAGAAGGGCGGCATTTGCTTTAAGGATCATGTTTATATCTTTTGCAAAACTGGTCTAAAAATCGAGTAAAACAAATATTGAATCCAGCTTTTAAGTGGTAAATTCATGTCAATAATTCATTTTACACACAACATTAACCAGAAAAGTGTCGAGCGTGTGTGCTTGTTTTTTTTTATACCGTGTCAAATGATCAGCAAAGCTAAATGATGTCATTTGAGAGCTGCAAAATCAAAGCAAATAAATCTCATCTGTATAAGTGAAAATATGTGCAAAAAAACGTAAAAGATAAAATCAGTGATTTCCATTTGTTAAATATGTATTGTTTGAGTGATTTTAAATGGTTCGCAATGTTGAAAAAAAGCTCGTATGCCTGTGTATATTTCGGTTATATGCTGTAGAGAATGTTGAAGAACATCTTAAGGCGTAATTTATTAAGCTTTTACCCTGACGCTATCTATGTACACAGTTTGTTGTTTATGTCGCCACCAAAATGTATTTACCTGAAAGAATCGAAAGAAAGAGAGAGAGAGAGAGAAAGTTAATTAGCATGATTTATCTTTAGAAAATGACAAACACAGCACATGTCAGATGTTTACCCAACATCTTATCATTAGGTAATATAAAACCAAGATAAAAGCACAATTGTATGTGGGAATATCTGTGTTGACGTGTGCCCCCCACATGTGATTCATTAAGCAAAAAACGTAGGTGCGGGCTGTCAAAAAGTGCTCAGGATGGACCGATTTGAGGCGATGATATTCTGAGAAAGCGAAAGCAGTTTAAATATTGTCTAAACTTATCAAAATATAACTCTGGCAGCTGGCAAACTGCACATTCTATGAGTAAAATCAGAGAAAAAGCTACTTTGATGACAGCAAAATCTGATTTAGCAAAATCCACTTTCAGTTGCAATTTTCATTCTGAAAATTTCATTCTTTGATGCACATTTTGCTCACATTTTCCAAACCATTCTTGGCCATCTCAATTTGTTACCATTTCAATGCTTTCTCTGGCGGACTTGTTAAAGCATTCTGAAACGGGTCAAAATTAAAGTTGCAGTAGCAAGCTGAAATTATTATTATGTTTACTTTGGCCAATCCAATGCTTGGACACTGAGGAAACCTCAATGAAGGGACGGTCCGCCGAGCACAGAGGGGGGAGCAAAAAGGAAAAGACATCAACAGAGAGGCAGAAGCAGACATTTTATTGCATTGCCGAGGGCCACAGAGACTGAGACCGAGAGATAGATAGACGTTCCGACAAACGGACAGTCATTCAGCATATATTTGCCTGCCGCTCTGCTGCTCACTGGCACAGTTTTCCCTGGTATGCATTTATTGTTTTTCCTTTTCACTCTCTTCTCTTTTTTTTTGGTTTTTATTTAGTGTGTTTTATTTGTTGTTGGTGTTGCATCACGCAAAGGAAATGAAATATGAAATAATTTACGAGTCAAGACGCTTGCCAGAGAGAGAGAGAGAGAGAGAGAGAGAGAGAGAGAGAGCAGAGGGGTGTGCAGTCAAATTTATGATAAATAACCATGCCACACAAAATGTACATGCATACATACAGGAACACCAGTAGATACAAATATATTTATGTATCTTTCAGGAAGTCAGTGCTGACAGCGATTTTGATTGCTCTTCCGACTGCTTGCCTGCCGCCGTCACCCACAACTCCTCGCTCTTTCGCTGTCATTGTTATGTTTGCTCGACTGCGTAAAACTTTCTCTACTTTCTTACCCACTGAAATCTGCAACATGCCCCAGAAGGCAGAAATGAAGTGCGTGGAAAATGAGACCATTGTTGTTGCCGCACTTGTTCTATGCCATGCCATGGCACAGAGCACACAGAAAGCAAGTCAAAAAGCGTAGACAAGTTTCCGACAATGCCCCGAAAATCCTCTAGCAGTTGCAGTTGCACTTTCAGCTCTCCAACAAAACAAAACTCCCAAGCTGAACTCTCGGCAAAGGATCCCAAGATATTCTGAGACTTGAGCATTCTGCTGTTGGGCTCTTCTGTTTTGTTGGCTTGTTCTGCTGCTGCACGCAGCGCACAAGCGTCAGTTAATACTAAGCTTGGATTTCAGGGAATGCCCGAAAGTATGCAACACTTTCTGACAGCACCCAACAAGTATACGCAGTGTGTAGCGAACACCCACAGATTTGTGCGCATATTAATGCAGTTTATTGCATTCACTTGATAATCGATGGGAGGTCGGTCTGTTTGCAGTTAAAGATAAACCAGATATTAAAGCTATGTAAAGAGCCAGCAAATGCGGCAGCAAAAGTGTTGAATTTCCGTAACTGGCATTCCTTTCCTGCATTCCGCATTTACTTCACTGCGTTGCCAACGTTGCCTGCAAGTTTTAATAATAAATATAACTTTTAAAGACCAAAACTTGGACTAAACTTCCACTCTAATTGGCATCAATTATTCGGCCTGTCACATCATATCACTACCGGTCCGGTCAAATCCCCTCTGGGCACTTCTTTAAAAACTTCCATTAAAAAGTGAATTCAAATTTTGGGGAGTGGAAATATAAACCAAAAATGTTCTTCATCAAAGTTGTCGCTAAAGTTTTTTATGCGGTGACATTCCATTGAAAAGCAGCAGTGAAAAATATATGGAAAAAAAAAATAAAACTTATTTCCAAACTAATCAAATTGCCATTCTGGCGGTGGGGTCAAAAGTTTTTGGGGTTTGGCTTTTTTGGCAGGCGAAAATCTGGCCAAAACTAACTGCCAACTAAATGTCTGCAAATCAAAGCATTTTTTATCTCTGGCAAATCGAATATCTCCACAGGCGGTAGGGGAATGTGCAGGGTGCATTTGCCATATAAATTTAATATTGAAACAAATTACTAAAATAATCGACAAAGCCAGTTTTAGTTGGTTCTTGAGAGCGGTTTTTAAATTGCAAATTTTCAACAGCAGCAGTGGAAAAATATTGTTGGTGTTCAATGGTTTTTGTTGCAATACTTTCAGCATATTAAAATTGTCCGTTTAAATGCAATTTCACTTGCAATCAATTTTAGCCCGAGATGGGATGGGATTTTTGCATTCCCCTTTGCCATTCCTGCCACTTGATAAGGCGGCGCTTCATTTGCCTAAGCGCCTGCTGGCCAGAGTACTTTTTCTCTCGCCCGAGATTGTATTTGTTATCGGCTTTGGTTTAAGTGCATGAGAAATGGATGAAGATGCATGCTGATGTGGATGCTGATGCTGGCTGCTGGTGGAAGTGCAGTATTTCATGTCCATTTTATGTTTAGACAACTTGCCTCATAAATATTTATGAATATTATGATGCAAAAATGCTGCTGCTGCATAATCAAAACGCTGTGGGGCATGGCAAAAGAAAGGCAACCGAAAACAACAAAAGGAGCGAAACCCCAACGAACCCAACGCGCAGTGCAATCAAATCAGCCATGATGGGGTGGCAAAAACACCACCGCCCGAGGGTCGAACAGTAGCAGGCAACCCTCTCCCCCTTTCATTCGCATCAACAGCATCCGCATTCGCATTCGCATCTGGAGTGTGAAAATTATACACCGTTGACAACGAGAGGCAGCATCCTGGCAGCCAGCAGCATCCACTGAAGTCGCATTAACTCCAGTGGATGTCATAAAAGATTCCATGTCTCGCATTTCCTTCTTACCTCAATAGCGGCTGTCAGGAATGAGTGAAGGGCAAGAAGAGTGAGAATACTTTGCTGACTGGATTGCAATTGAGGCAGGCTCTCCCTACCCCCCAGGAAAGCGCACAGCTGGTCAACATCCAATCTCACAAAATATGCAAAACGATACAGAAATTATGAGTGCGCAAGGGCGGGCTCTTGGCAAATTGGTTTTCCCTCGAAATTGATATGCACAGGTTTGACTTTAGCAATCAAGATGGTATATCGAAAAGGTGTTTCAATTTAGTTATAATTAAATAAATGGAAGTCTGATCTTAGTCTTAGATCTTAAGTTTCTACCACTTCCATTGCTCTTCAGGCTTCCATTTCTCTCTTCAACTCTACTCTTAAACCTCCAAAGAAAAGAACACCAACATTCACAGGCAATAAAAGTCTATCCATCCTTTTCTGTACTTGAAAGAACTTCTGATTTTATGAGTCTATATCTACAGATATTCTCCTCTACCTCAACTCATACTCATCATAAATTGGATCCAAATCTAATTGCAGAATCTATCTAGGTTTCAATACCATCAATATTTATTAAAATTCCATCGTTTCGCCTACCCTTCTTTGCTTTCAATTTTCAGCCATAAGCTTGCGCCCATAAATAGCCACAAAATGTTGGACAATTCTCTGGACGATGTCCCTGGTGTTGTGTGTGTGTGTGTGTGTGCGTGTGCGTGTGTTGTACAACGAAAGATGGTCCACTCGGATACGTATTCCATTAACCAGGAAGCGACTTTTGTTTTCTCGCTGGCAGTGTGGCTGTCGCCGTCGCTTGTCCACATTGAGCTGTTGCCCAGTGCCTGGGGGTGGTCGGGCTTCTTGTTCCCCCAGCTACTGGCTGCTGCTCCCCTCAATTCCCGCTGCTGCTGGTACTTGGACGCTGCTGGTAGTTGTTCCCCCAGCTCCTGTTGCTGGCTCCTGTTGTTCTCCTGTCTCCGGCCTGGCGGTTGCCATTCGTTTTGTGTACGGAAATTTACGATTCACACGTATGCCAAATGCAATGGCAACTGCAAATGGGAATTGGGTACCAAAGATTGGGCGAACCATGCGGCTTGGGGACTCATTGCTGCCGTTGCCCCTGCTGCCGCTGCTGCTGTTGGGCGATAATGGTTTCCATGCTGTTGCTGTGACAATAACAATTGGTGGCGGTGGAGGTATTGTAAAAAGATGCCGCCGCATATGGTACTATATGCGGTGGCATAACAATGGCAAATATGGCATGGAATGCAGCCCAGAAAAGTGAGTGAGTGGGCAGCCACAAGTACTTATATGCAACACGCTGAGAGGCTGAACAATTATTGCCAAGGCTGACACACAACAATGAGGCAGAGGGATGGCATTGAAATTCAATTTCATTGTCGTTGCAAGCGAGAGCAACACCCCAACACCCCAACGCTCCTTCCCCCCATCAGTCTGGTCCTTCTACTTTTCTGTTGTCGTCCTTTCGCATCTCTCTCCTCTCTCTGTCTGTGTGTGGAGAGGGTTCTCACTTCTGTTTACACAATCAGCAGCAGTGTTTGCATGGCCAATGCGTTTCTCTTGTATTCTTACTGAATGGTGAATGGTAAATGGTGAATGGTGGAAAATCAAGAGGCAGAGCAAAAGGATCTGAGGAGAAGGAGCCAAAGCTGGATTTGAAGCAGCAGTAGGAGACTACAGCATGCGGAGTACTGAGACTGGCTGAGAAGTACTGCAGACTGAATCTGGATCTAGTGCTGGAGTAGACACTGGAGAAGGATCTGTAGCTGTGGCATGAGTAATAGCAGCACCAGCAGCTGAAGCAGCAAAAGGATTCGGATTGGAATGCTACAGCAGCAGATTTTTGATTTATTGAAACGCACGATGCGGGACGCAGGATGCTCGATGCAGGATTTCGAATGGGAATTCGGAATTTTGTTTGCTAGTGTGGAAGTCGCAGTCTCTGGACTCTTCACTCTTTATATGAGTTGCTATTGTTGCATGCAAATGTCTTCTACCCCTTGATGAATGAGCAAAAAAAGGGGTATGCCTTTTATACGTTTATGACTCAGTGGTTCAGCTGAATGTAGTACAGAGTTTATTCTGCACGAATAAATGAACTTTTCCCATATTTTTGTACGATGGAAGCAAACAAATATTTGCATTTTCTGGCTGAAAAGCAATTAACTGACAGGCAACAAAGTAAAACCTCTTTAAAATGCTATTTTGGCAGTAAATTAAAGATAAATGATGCACTTGGCTAAAGCCAGGAATCACTCCATTGTTGGCCTGTAGAATATTAGCCCATTCATTTACCTGAAATTTGTCTGGCTGGCAAAAAACAATAGGCCTAAAGCCACATTGATGCACTCGGCTAAAGCCTCAGTAAATGTCAGGCCTCCCAGTCAGGAATGGAACAAGGTGGCTTTGATTTTCATTGCCTTGGACTTGGACTTTCATTTCATTTCCCCAATTCACATGCATGGGGTGTCATTAACAAACGGAGAGAGCTCGTCTCTTTACACATTTAGGTACACAAATGGCCAACAAAAACGAGGCAAAAAGACCCAGGAAACGAGTCAAGAAATCTGTAAAAGACAGAGAGAGAGGTAGAGAAGGAAAATATGTAAATTTATGCTAGCTTTTGTCTATTTTCCTGGTATATATTTAGTTTTGCTTTTACTTCGATGGGTTTGGTTCCTTGGATTTTTTGGTGCTTTGATCCACCTGCTAGGATCCAGTGGCTGTTGTTTTGATGCTTCGTTTGCTGATGCGTATCATGATTGTGGCACTTGTGGGCCAGCAGCAGGAGTGGCAGCTGATGGACCGCAGAATCAATATGCATTTGAATATGTGTGGTGTTTTTTCTTCTTCCAGCAGTGGAACCACTGACAGTGGACAGACATTCAGACAGTCGCAACTTTTCATGTACGTGTCCTCACGTTTCTTTCTCTTTTTTTCTGTTTCTGTCATTTATTTTTACCCTAACGCACTCAGAGAAGCAGAGAATATCACATTTGGGAGCAATTGCTAAAGAGGAATGTAAGGGATATACATATAGATGACCTTTCTAGAAAAGGGCAGAGTATTTGAGGGTACTCCTGGTATTCGATACGTTTCCAAATTGTTTGTTCTTGAAGGTGATAATCGAGACCTAGCATTTGAAGTATTATAAATTATAATTTCTAACATCAACTTTTGTCGAGATTGCCTACATTCTAGTTACATTTTTGGTGGCTTTGCCTTGCTCATTAATATTGAAATATTTAAAATACATTTTGGCTATATTTTGTAAGCCAAAGTACACCATTTTCCATTGATCTGTAAGGACATTCAATCTTCGTTGCTATCTTTTTACCACACACACACGCACGCATCAGGCTGCTGGGATGGCCATCCAACATTTGCATAAGAAGTGACTGATGGCAGTCCGAAGGGAGACACGGGCAGGCGCAGGTGAAAGGTGAAAGGTGAAAGAATACGAGTGTATACATATATCAAGAGGCAAACTTAATTATCTATATGTATATGTGCTGCTGGGTGAAAAGTACAGCAGCCCACGGACACACTGGGAGAGAGAGAGAGAAAAGGAAATCCCCGTGCAGCATCAGCAAGTCCCAAATCCAATAAATAAAAGCAAATGAGAAAAATGCTTGCCACGTTGCCGTGGACTCTATGCCATAAGTGTGTGTGTGTGTGTGTGTGTGTGTGTGTGTATGTGCGTGAGCCAATGAAAAGTCATCAGAATAATAAGTTAGGGGAATCCAAAACAAATATAGCAAATAAGAGCAAATTGCGTGGGGAGTTTTCGTCTAATGAAAATTATTCTAGCAAGTCAACAACTCAAGGAATTGAAACTTTCTGCTGCAAACTTTATAATAAAAATCTTTTTTAATTGAAAATCGTTGCATGTTGCATAACTCATTGGGTGCCCAAATGTGCATGCCCCAAGTACCCACAAAAGCCGCATGTAAGTTTTATCAACGTTTTGGTGCCTGCCTGGCATTGCATGCAACTTTCAGGTTTGTTATTTTGTTGTTTCGCAGTTCAGACTTTACACTTTACACTCACTAATCGGCGGGGCTGAGGGGCACAGAGGCGGGGGTGGTGGCAGGCTGGACAAGGCCAGGGCCTCTTGTGGCTGTTGTGAATAAATAAAAAGCGAAACAAGAGCACGATAAAAAAGTCTCATTCGCAATCAGTCAGCTCGACAGTAATGCCATGAACCCGGCCATAATATTAATTGCTAGTTTGGTGCTCCTGCTGCTGGCGCCTGTCGTCCCTGCGGAAAGGTAATTTACATTTTCCGCTAAATACAATTATTTTTTAAGTATTTATTTATTTAAATTTTAGCACTGCTCGTGCGCTCAGATTGTGCCATAATTCCACCGATGGCATTTGGTTTTTCTTGCCCCAGGGAAGACCTGGGTACAGGCTGCCTATTTTGTTTCGCGCAATTCCGGCGGAGTGTGCCATGCCAATAATATTTGGTTCTACTGTAAGTGCGGTGATCTGATAAGGGAATATGAATGAAGAAGTAACATTTTAAGTGTGGAAACATATAGTAATACCAACAAAATACAATGCATAACATTGTGTGGCTAGTTGCTATGCATTTTGTCAATCTTTTTTGGGTAAGCCAAGCGCTGGCACCTCTTGAGTGTAAGAAAATAATAAATATGCTATACTAGGTATATTTGGAACAACATTTAAAGTACTCAAGATAAAATACGCTACTTAAAATGTATTGAATTATACGTGACTAATTCTGTGTTGAGACAAATGGAAATGACAATGAAACAATATTACACAATTAAATTATATTTTGTAACAAATACAGATTCCCTAAAAACACAAATATTGCTGCCCTACAATCTACCACACATCCTTTTGTCATTCCATGCCACACAGACTTTAATAACATTAAAACTAATTAAAATGAGGAGCATCTTTGTGATGAATTGCTATTTGTGCGGTGGCTTGAAATGTGTACACCTAGCGAGGCATGCAAGCCCTCTGATGATTAATTAATGATAACAAATGCTGATTCAGGACACATGTACAAACATACAAATATTGCCCTCAAAGGCAATAGAGTTTGTAGATGAATCTTTCCCTTTGATGCTGTGTCGAAATTCATTAGGGGAAAGCAGCATTCAGCATTCACAGCGTCTTGTGTGGTAATTAAGAGAAAGTTCATTAGTGGCAAATGTGGAATGGAATTTATACAACTCTCATTGATTATGCAAACAATAAAAGGTAAATGCAGAATATTTCCATATGTGTGCAAATCATTGCAATGGCGCAAGGGGGCCCAAGACATCCTGTAATCCTGCCTAAAAGACATGTGTTTTATGCTTTACTTTGTGATGAGCCAAGGAGATTGCTTTCCCCGCGAAGTTTGCTACGCCAATTAGTTTGCCACCAAAGAAGATCTTCCATCCATCAGCAACAGGGGCCCAGACAATGGCCCCCAGGGGTGAGGCTGTGGAGGCGGTGGCGACTAAACGACGAGTCCGGAACTAAGAGATTTATATTAAAGTGAGAGTAACCCTTATCTAACAAATTGCTTTGGCACTAAGCGACGACCAAAACTAATTAAAATCCTAAACTTTTACCTGTGAGAGAAGCGACGACTATCGGAGCAAACTATTCTTATATAAAACGCCTGCTGCCTGCCATTTTGGTAACCATAAGAACCATACGACACACCCGTCAGACAGGCGGCGGCATGGAACAACTTTCCAACGAAGCGCTTTGGCGGCCTGGCCAATTTTCGAAGCCAAGCCAAGTTTTTTGCCCCATGCTAAAAAGTTTTCTCTTCACTCTCTATCTCGCTCCGCAATTATACCAAATACAAATACCAAACAGAAACAGAAAACTGAAAACGAAACCCAGAACCCAAACCAAAAACCAAAAACCAAAGCGAAACTATGTAAAGTTTTTAATCATGCCTGTGGCTCTGTTTCTCTGTGCTGTTCTGTGTTGGGGAAAATCAAAATCAAAGTCTGACAGCGAGAATAAAACTCGCGACAAGCCAATTAAAATGTACCACAAGGCGGCGGCGCGGCTTACGCGGCGTATGGGGTATATGCGTAACAACACGCCTTGCCACAAAAAACGATTTAGCCAGAGACCAGTTTCAGTTTATTAAAATTTCATTTACCACTGAAGTGGGAGTGTAGTGGCAAAGGCCGAGGGGCGTGGAAATTTGTTTTGGCCTCACCAAAAAGTTTGGTTCCTCGTATTTATAGCCCAAAGTACTTGAGAAGCGTCAGCGAACGGGTATGCTGGTGTTGTGAGCAGACATGTAACAGGCTGTGCTGTCAAGCTGAGGATTTATAGAAATATATTTTAGTTGATGTTATTTCTTACTGATTTATCTACTCCTTTTTGTTGTAGGTTTTGTTTAGCAGCTTTATTAGGGTATTCCATGGCATTAGCTTATTCCTGTATATTTTTAGCAGATTTTTGGAAAAGTATATTAGTTTTAGCGCGCTTTAAAATTTGTTTTTTGCTGTCTAGCCAACTGTTCAAAAATTGAGTTTACTTTTTTTCTCCGGGGTTTTCCAACTATTTGGTGTTGGCAAAGTTTTTTGTGGATACAAAAAAACTGAAGGAAGGTGCTTCACATTTTTCCCCGTTATGTACTCGAATCGAGGCTCTGGCAGAAAAAAGTTTGTGGTGCGCTTTTGAATATCAGCGCCTCGCCTGCGGTTGAATAAAGCCTCATGCTGCCTCTCTCCCGTTTCTCTTTCTCTTTCTCTTTCGCTCTGGTATGCTTAGAGAAGGTTTGTGGAGGGAAAACTATCCAAAAATCCAAAGTCTGTCAAATGCAGAGCAGCAGCGCCCCCGATCCGTGAAAGTTGTGAGAGCTGTAACAGCAATGCAAATTTTTCGAGTGAATGGAGGCAAAATTTTGCTTTTCCGCCTTTTGTTTGAAACTTGTTGAAGAGGAAAGAACAAAAAAATCTGAATTATTTTATATATATTGACTTGAATAGTTGAAGGATCTCTGAAGAAAATTAATAAATATTCTAATAAAATGAGCGCAAAGCAGTAAAACAGTAAAAGGGGGGGAAACTTTTAGCCCACTCCAAAAGGTAGACTCAAAATTTTGTGCAAAAAATGAAGAGGAAAATCTGAAAAAAATAAAAAGGGAAAGACTTTTTCTGCGTTCCTTTGTAATCCATTTCCATTAGTGTTTTGTTCTGTCAATGAAATTCCTTTTTGCTGCAGAGTTTTTCAATTTTCAAACATTCTTTGAGGCATAACTTATCAAGAAAATTGCAATTAAATTACGGTCCACATTGATTTTTGTTGTGTGTTTGTTGTGTGTGCTGTGCGGTTCCATTTTCTAGCCACAAAAAGCTGTCTCTTGCCCAGAATCTTGTGATGCGAATGCCTATCCACTGGCGTGTGGAGTGTAGTGTCTGTTTCGAACAGAAGACCAACAAAAAAGTAACAAAAGCAAGAGCTCATATCAAATAATGCACATTTCCGCTTCCGCTGCTGGCAATGCGAGACGTATCTAGGGAATTGACGCAGGACGAAGGATGCAGTGGCTTCTTCAAATATTGGCTCAGCGCCTTTTTGGCCTGGCCCCTGCCAAGTGTTTCAGAATCAACAACTTCAGTGTAAATTGCCTCGAGCCAACATCTTTTGAGTCTCAGCAGCAGCAGCAGCAGCTCCTCAACTTTCACATGACGCAGACATCTCTCTGTCAGTCTCTCTCTCTCTCTGGGAAATGCTCTGTGTGTGTCTTTGTGTGTGTGTGGGTGGCATTTCCTTCATCAAAACAAACAGTAGGATGAACATTAAGAAATCAACTTTAGACGCCAACGCGCGAATGCCGCGTCTTTTGTTATGGCTTACAATATTGTAGGAACTGTGTGTGTTTTTCCATACTTTGTTTGCTGTTTTAGTCGTTGTCCCCTTTCCCAAAACAAACCCACTCCGTAGATAAAGGGGAGGCGGAAAATCTACAACATAAACATAAAGTTATTATATAAATATGAAGTTAGCAAAACAGGCGGGTGGAGGGAAAACGCGGAAGAAAACTTTTTCTGCTTCGAAGTAAGCTTTTGCTCCTTTTTGCTCCTTTTCGTTTCGGGTGTTATTTTCTTTTCGGTTTCTTTGGCTTTTTTTTTGGGCTGTCAGAGCATGATGCAGAGGCTTTTGAATTATGCGGCAGATTAAGTCCCAAGTGCATGCCGCCTGAAGTTTATTTACCCCTCCATCTACAGCCCCTCTACAGGCAAAAAACCAAAATCTTTCAGCTGGTAATCTGTGAAAATGATGAATGGGAGCCCCGTACAAAATGCCTGAATTGTGTTGAAGGGTTCATTAGGGTGCCAGATAGGATAACGACAGAGATGCTGAGGATGATGATGATGATGTGAGGTGAGAGGTGAGCAAACGACAAGAAAAAATATAAGAAGCGGTGGGGCAAACATGTTACCAGAAAACAAAAGAAAGAATACATTTCGTAGGACATTTTTAGAATTTTGTACTAGCTTTAATATTCCTGAAAGTGGGAACATAAAACTCAATAGTTTAGCGCAGGAATATCTGCTATAAAACTGATAATAAAACTATAAATTTCGTTTGTCTGATATTTGTCGAAATGAAATATCTGCATGGCTTTTCTTTAAACCCCATTTTTGTTGGGGGTTTTCCCATCACAGTGCAAATAGATCCACAATTCATTTTTCATTTGAAACACGCGGCACGTGTCTGAAAAAAATATCTCATTCTTTTTGCCTTAACCACAACGCTACAAAGTATTCAATTTAAACAAACCAATTTGACAATGCAAAAGGGGATTCTAAAGGGGAGAAAATAAAAGCAAAGCAAACAGATACAAAATATATAGGTTCCGGCTACCATCCAGATGCATATGCGATTGCGGAGGCACTAAAAGAGTGCAGGAGGAGCGCAGGGCCAAGCAACGCAACCGCAGAGAATACAGAAACATAAAAACCAACAAAGAGGGGAGAACATTTTGGGAAAGTCGAAGCTGTAGATACTCTAGGATGTGTGTAAATATGTGCATGTCTGCTAGTGGTTTTTTCTTTTGATTCAAATTTTGTTTTCTATTAGCTATTTAGTCAAAGAATAAACAATTTTAGAGCTTCGTTTTAGTCATGATATCCTGTATAATAGAAGCCAGTATCTAGTCTATTTTGTTTGTCTTATATCTTCAAAAACTGCGAGATGGGAAGATGGAGTGAATATATCTACTCTGCTTCAAAAATGTACTTGTTGAAAATCATAATACCCATTCGGTACAGCAAAGGTGTCTGGCCAAATGCCGACAGTGCTAGACAAAAGCGTGGCATAGCTAAAGCCATTACTCATACGTCATGTGGCAACAGCAAAGGAGAGGAGTTCTCTCCCTCTCTCCACACCACTCCACTCTACTCCTCATTCCTGCTGTTCGCACTGAAATATACGCAAAAATACAAAATTCATAAAAAGGAAACTAAAGCGCTTGAGAGCGCTAAAACCAACAACTGTACAAGTACTGCTGCTATTTTCACGTATTGTATCCAGATATATCTGTGCTCTGCCTTACACATGTGTCTGTGTGCGGGGGATTGGCAAGTGGATCAGCGAGCGTGCGGCTGTCACACATCGCTCTCTCCTTCTCCCTCTCTGCTTATCGCTTTCTCTCTGCTCTCTGGAGGGATTTCTGGTTTTCGTGCTGGGATTTCCCTTACGGGTTTCTTCTTTTCGGGCTCTTTCATTTTCCTATGGCATTATTTCTATTCCCCAATTACACGTTGCCCGGAGAACTTCTTGATTTTTGCTCCTCTCTAAATCTACTTGGGGGAGAGTCCTCTCAGACACACTCTTCTCCTCTCCGCCTGCAAGTGCATTATTTAAGCTGGGTGTGGCGTGTGCCTGTTTGTGTGGGGTGCTGCTGTGCTTATATCTAACTTGCGTTTAACCACAAATTGAATTATCCAACAATTTACAACTGCGTGCTGTGCTCTCTCTCTCTCTCTCTCTGCTAAACGACCCAGAACCGCACGCTCCTCGGCGACTCGCCCGCCCTTTTTTGCCCATTTTTGTACACATCGTCATCTCTGCTCGGGTGCGCTGGGAATACAAAAATAAAACCATTGCAACAAAACCATTCAATACGAAAAGAGTAGAGTGGGGTTCACTCAAGGGTTAAAGATGCAGAAAATGTACAAAGTTTAGGTACCCTTTTAGTGATGGGTATTAAGATATAAATCATTTAATTTTGCCCATCAAGGAACTTTCAGAAGGTCCCATATATGTATAAGCCTCAAGAGTCAAATCTTTCGAGAATTCAAGGATTTATTCAAGATTAAATATAAAAATATTGCAAGAGTTGTGATTGAATTGACGGAAGATTCCTACTGCTAAAAACCACTGCTTACCAAATTAGAATAGGGATATTTTCTTGTCTATATTTAACCCATATATGCTCCTTAATCTTTCATGATACAACATACCTGCAAAGAAGAAACAGAACAAAAAAAAGCGGTTAATCACACGTAAATAAAATATTCATGGCTTAAATACGTGTATGACAGAAATGGACTAATTTTACATAGATTATTGCCATAAGAAACCCGCAAAGATGATCAATCAAAGCCCCGCACATATGTCACCTTTTAGCGCCCGACAAAAAATGGGGCAAAAAAAACCGCTTGAATGTCGTTTTAGGCATTTACAGCACGTATTGGTGGCCCCCTGACAACCGAAATCAGCAAAGTAAATAAATAAAATATTTATATGTGCAACGGCAGCAGGAGCAACTTCCAACGTACATACAACATCTAACATCTAACAGCCGGAACTGTGAAAGAACCTTTCCTAAATGATTCCTTCCTGGTTGTGTCAACCGTGGAGGAGTGGAGTCCAACCATCCATCTCCTCCGTCACGATTCCACCTAATTGCCAAGTATTCATCACACGTGCGTCCATGCGAGTGAACGTGACAGATGCCGGGCCGATTTATTCCACAGAGGCCGCCAAAGATTCCCAGGATTTTAATCAAAATGCTTGACGGGAAACAAGGAAAAACGTTATCTCGAATTCTCACATCGATTTGGGGCCACTTTTGTTAATGTTTTATGATGGGCTTAAGCAACATTTGGCGCAAGTTTTATTCTGTGCGCGCTTTAAACTTTTCTCACAGAAGAAGAAAAAAGAAAATGCTGCCGCTTATAATTCCTTGTCGCAATCGTAATGCGTTTTTCCTGTTCAATGTGCGAGAAAAGGGACAAAGAGTAAAGAGAAAAACGAACAGAATACGCCAGACAAGTGGAGTGGAAATATTTTTTTGGCCCCGGATTGCTTTTGCTTCCTGCCAGGAGACAGGAGGCAAAAGATTGCTTTAGATAACTTGGCTAAGGACGAGCTGGTGGGAGGCCAAACGTTGAATGATGGTATCCCAGCCT